ACAAACAGAATAACGAAATGAATCTGGTTCGATAAATATTAAAACAAAACAACGGAAATAACAACCACATTTCCGAATTTTGTATGTATTTTTCTCGTGTTGTTCATGGCATGAATGTTGCCCTTCATATTATCTAGCTATCAAACAGACTTATATGATTAACGTGGGTAAATGTTTTACCTAATTTTTATTTCTCACGGAATTTTTACAGAGCATAAGTGAGTGGGTTGTAATTCTTATGATATTGTAAAACGTTTTCAGTAAAGACATTGTACATTTATGTGATGGAAAAACACAATAATCCACCTTTCGTACTTTAGAGTAAAGCTATAGTTTGTGTAAATGTTTCTATTGCCCTCTGTTGTTAAGTTTGCTTTCCAAACCATATTTACATCACTTATACATAAAGCATACAAATTGGTGTAGAGGAAGCATGTTCGCTTACGATTGGTTTGTTTGTTTTGGATTTCGCGCAAAGCTACACGAGGGCTATCTGCGCTAGACGTCCCTAATTTAGCAGTGGAAGACTAGAGGGAAGGCAGCTAGTCATCACCACCCACTGCCAACTCTTGGGCTACTCTTTTACCAACGAATAGTGGGATTGACCGTCACGTTATAACGCCCCCACGGCTGAAAGGGCGAGCATGTTTGGTGTGACGGGGATTCGAACCCGCAGATTGCGAGTCGAGCTCCCTAACCACCTGGCCATGCCGGACCTTTTATTGAAAGAATACACACCTACCTGTGACAGTGACCATAGAAAAAATCATCACCCTAGTAAACATCAACAGTTGAAACTAGAAATTAAAACAACAATATCTTTTTGGATTTTTTATGAATAATAAAATAAGTCCCTTTTATTTCGGTCCCCTCGATGTAGCTAAGAATGTAACAAAAACGTGTAATCCGGGAAATGGTTTATTTGTCCCTAATGCAGTTAGAAATATTTATATATATATTCAGATTTCATCACGTAACAGTTTCCGAAAGAAAATAAACTTTTTGTTTTCTAGATAAACGTGATTTATTTTTATGAACTTCACTTATATGGCTGAGTAATGATATCATGTAGTAGAAAATAGTAAACATTTGTTCATCATAACACAAGGTAGGGTAGGTTTCCATTGAATTTTTATCAAACACGTTAGTTGACAATGGTAGTGACACCTATCGGCAACTGAATCAAATACTGCTCAATATGCAATTACTGCCAACCAAAAATATAATTTCTTCCAAAATAAATTGTTGATTAGCTCTACTTTTTTTATATCTTTTTCAGACATCAACGATGACATGGTGATATTATAAACCCCTTCAATAAAACACAAGACCATCACCAATAAAAATGTTCACGTTTACATTCGGCCATTTATTTGAGGTTTCTGATCTTTCCAATATCATCATAAAGGCTGTGAATCACGATCTTCTAAAATTAATATTAGATTAACATTATAATTTATTTTATTGTTTAGCTATGTGCTTAATCTGTTTATTTTAAGTTCCATTTTTCAAAGAAAAAAATTTTGTACCGTGAAATCAAATCAAAAGTCCACATGCAGTCTTTCCCTTGCTTCTTGATTGATCACATAGTTACTTGGTTGTTGTGTGATGAACCCACCAGGGGATTAAGGTTGATAACCAACAGAGTGAGCTTTATAAAAATGGAGGTATCCTAAGTTTTTGTTATTCCGCTTGGAAATCAAACGTTATTTGGTAACTTACACAAAGGAATTCTCTAGAAAGTTGGCAACTCCATAAAATTGTCGAGTAAAACAAACAACAAAAATCCTCCGAAACAGCGCATTCAGCGTACAGGTGAAAAGGATAAGTCCGATTTTTGGCAATAAATTTAGTGAAAAAAAAAGTCCTTTAATCTCCAGATAATAAATAAATAAATAAAAATTATTTCAACCAACGTTTCGCTTTGGCGGCTAGTAGTACGAGAACTATTTACTGTTAAAATATACATATGTATAGGAATTTGTTAATTGAAATATTTAGTTAGGCGTAACAGTAACATGTAGAATTTGATTTTAATTCAGTATAGCTAACTGAAATAAATAAATTTTGCGAAATCAAGCTTGACCAACAAAGAGGCAGTCGAAGCAGTCAAACATCGGTAAATTCCTTTGTGAGCCAATCAAAATTAAGATCATTCGTGGCGTATTCATAGACTAATTATTGATAAAAATCAGTTAGATTAACAACTTCTAGTATATAGAAAAGCCAGTACGTTTTGGTAACACTACGTTTCAACAATGGCTTTTATGTCATGTTGCTTAGCAACAAAAGTATAATCTAATGTTGTACTGAAAGTATAAAATGAAATGTATAGTCAACAAAAATGGAAAAATATTTGTTGATTTATTAACTTAGAGTCTCCGTTGATTAAAGAGGTTTGTTTTTTATTTAAAATGTTGGTGATATAACAGAAGATAGCTTAATTCAGAAACGATTTATAGTATTTTGGCACTTGTGTATAAAGTTAAAATCATAAATAATATTCAACGTCAAACTGGTACACAAAGTTGACGAGAATGGTGTTGTAACGTAGAAGCATGTGGAGTCGTCAACTTTTTGAAGGCCATAGATAGGCCTAAATAAAATGTTTTTAATTGTGTACCAGTTTAACGTTGAATATTATTTATGATTTGAACCGATATTTTTCACTTTCATGATAAATTTTGTGCACTTGGCTGTAGGCTAGGTGATCCAACACTACGTCTTTACTTTAGGCTTATTATACCTATACTCATTACATTTATAAGGTTTCACGGCACCCCCTCTCCCGGCCCCACTAAATTCGTAACGGACAAACAGTAATCGAACTATTCTACCTAGATAAATTCATTTTGGCTTTTATGACTCCTTCTATTTCAAGAAATCAAGCGTGACGTGAAACACACACTGGCTTTTATATTGGTTAGATTAAAACCGCTTTTTTTATTTTTCTATTTTAAGATATCCGAAATATTTTATCACACCAGAGATTTTTTTCCATAGGGAAAGAAGAAAGTAAATATTTTATCGTCAGTCGGATTTCGTAGATTTTTTGATTTGCCAGTGGCTCCAAAAAGTTTTAACATTTAACAGTTAATTAACAGATAAAATTGTTTTGTACGCTTAGCAGACACGCACACACACATGTCCTTGCATTAAAATCAAATCATTTTTTACTCAAAAGCGTTTTATTTCTGTGAAAAATTAAATTAATTTTATAAACACGAGTCTTCTCATGTATCAAATTAATCTTCTCAACAGTTGTCAGTATCATGAAAATTCAAATACATATTTTTCGTGAGAGTTTCGAACAGCCTGACTTGACTTGGTGATTAAAGCATCTGGGGGCGCGAGTTCAAATCCCGTTATTAAACATGCTCGCCTTTTCAACCGTAAGGACTTTACAATTTGACATTCAATCCCACTATTCGTAGATAAAAGAGTAAGTTAAGAGTCGGCGGTGGATGATGTTCACTAGTTACCTTCCTCCTAGTCTATCACTTCAAAATTAGAGATGTTTAATGCAGATATCCCTCGAGTAACTTTGCACAAAATCCAACAAACAAACAGTTTCGAAACAATGGCTATTTTTTTTTCTCTTGAAGAACATGTGCTTAGGCAATAAAGTTTTGTGGGAATCGATCTACTTTTAGACAAAAAGTAAACACTGTTGACTGTAGCTTAATAAACGGTGCACCGCTATAATTTTCTTTTGACACATGCACAATTTTTCTATTTTTTCCCTCGTCGAATTGCAATTTCGGATGAATTTATTTTGTTTAGCATTTAATATATAAAATTGTAACTTTTAATTTATTTTCTCCATAAATATTGCAAATATTGTCAAACAACAACGTACATTTATTTTCTTTTAATGTTAAATTATTTTCAATTATAGTCATAAATTTATATATGTGTAATTGTTTTATATTTTATTGCGTGATTATTCAAATTAGGTCTATCTCTTCTTTATCATTAAAAATTAATGAATGTTTTTACAAAAACTATTTAACTTGTTGAAATACAAATGACTTAGCATAAAGTTTCAATGTATTAATTAATTTTCTTTTCTTTTTCTCTTTAAGTCACTAAAACGACCTCTATAATGATATAAAAATTTAGTCGTAGACGACAGCCTCGGGTTCGCTTGCTCGTAAATTCTCGGTTGTTTTCGTACTAGAATCGGCTGAGAAGTTCCGAGTGCGGTTTGGGATAGGTTAGGTCGTTAAGGTTACGGTTGAATACGTGTCATGATTTTTCATATTTGCTAACCATTCTTTGCTTATTATTACATTTGTCTGTAGAACAGACTGAATTATTTACATGTATGAAAAATTAAAGTCAAGATGGATATAGTAAAGAGAGCTCTTACGTTTTTAACGTTCTTTGTGTGTTGTACCAGCTTAGCATTTTTAGCAGCATCTTTTGCCACTCAGTCTTGGATTGAAGCAGAACCAATACGAACAGGATTCAATTTAAATTCCACTTCATTAGAAGGTGACGATAAAAAATTTGTTGGGAAAATTAACTTTGGTTTATTCAAAGGAGAGAAAATATTGGATTATGGCTTTGGACCAAGAAAATCCCAAATATGGAGTTAGTAATTTCCTGAGTTGTTAATACTTTTAAATTAATGACAGTCTTAGCTAGCATTAGTATTACTATTAGTGACTATTAGTATTACTAATACTAATACCCTAGCTGTAGACTTTAGTTATAACTTACAACTTTTAAATACAAGTCTAATGATAATAATAATAATAGTATTACTGAACTAGAATTAGAAAACAAATGTTTCCTGTCTTAGAAGAAAAAATCAAATAACTTATTTATTTATTTATTCATTCAAACATAGTAAATAAAAAGTTAGCTAATTTATCAGTAATTTGATTTTTTTTTAAATTTATAAGTTGGCTAAAAATTGTTTGCCTTACCTTGTGAAGTTTACTTTAAATTTTAATAATAAGCTCGATTGTTGTTTTTGGAAGAAAGTTCCTTCAAAAATTAAAAGCCTCAGATAATATTAATTCTAATAGTAAATGATATATATAATTAACTGATTAAACAACTTAACAGAAGCCAGTATTTGATTGTATAACATTTTTATCAAAATAGGCTGAGCTTGATTCAGTGGTTAGTAGATCCACTGGTCCACTGTTGTTTGCATTCCATTACCACAAAAAAGTGAAAAAATTGTACTTTGCATTTGGAGCTCATGGTGATTTTTGAACAATGGTCAAATTCCACTATTTGGTCAAACAAGAGTAGCCAATCGGATAGAGTTGGTATTGGGTGTTGCTGACTTGATGACTTCCCTTTTAATCTGTGAATTCAAATTTAGGAATGACTTGTGCAGATAGCCCTTGAGTGTGTAAACAAAGCATTTTAACCCAACATTTTTTTTTTTCAGTAAGGGGAAGTCTTCTCATTGTTTATTTCTTTTTACAGATACAAGGAACCTTCTCCCGTTAACCAATGCTTTGGAATGGACAACCCCTTTATATATATTTCTTAATATTCCATATAACAACTGTTTCTGGGGGGTCAAAATATAATGCATGCTCTAAGCTTAAGATAAAAAATTTAAGACTTAAATCACACCTCTTCAAGAATAAAATAATAGATATGAATCTTGAAGAGTTATTTCAAGATTTTAAAAAATAAGTAAAATTCCATTTATTTTGTGAAATGTAATAAAAGCTCCACCCGTGCTGTTTCTTTAGAACAACTAGTATATGATAAATAATGGACCATTTGGTCTTTCAGAGATGCCCGTATGTTAATGGGAAAAAATGTTTAAAAACAAAAACATTGAACTTGCCTTTTATCTTTCAGGAATTCAGGGCTCGATTAAGAATTATTGGGGTCCTGGGCACTACGAATGTTGGAGCTCCCCTTCCATTAAAAAAAAAAATTAGTAAAATACTTAAAGCAACAAATAGTGATCGGTCATTCTTAAATCTACATTCACAAATACTACATGTCCTCAGAACATATACACATTGTAAAGTGAATCGTATCACAGTATTATCTAACTCAATGGTGTAGGAAGGAGATGCAAAGTGGGGGTCCTTGACTAGATGTGCAGATTTTACAATGAGAGATTGAAAGTATAACATAACATTTTGGGACAACATGAAACTATTCATCCAGCTCGGCTATTCCATCCGCTAAAATAAATCAAGATAATCTTAAAGTCTTCCCTTATCATTCATATACTTATCAATCTCTCTCTTAAACTCACTTAAATTTACTGTCTCCACAACATTCGAAGGCAACCGATTATAAAGGCCAACCAACCTGTTACAAAAATGAAACTGTCTTAGCTGAAAATGACTTCTACCCTGCCAAAGTTTATAGTTGTGTCCCCTAGCTCTACTATTCTCACTGTTAAGTATGAAAAAAGATGATGCATCAACATTATCAGTTCTCTTTACAATCTTAAACACCTCAATCAGATCCCCTCTAACTCTTTTTTTTTTTTCAAGAGAAAACAATTTGAGAGATTTCAGCCTCTCGTTGTATGACAACTCCTCCACCCCAGGCACCATTCTAATAACCCTTCTCTGAACCCTTTTCTTATATCAGCTCATTCTAAGGGGGTCTGCCCCCAGAAAATTTATATAATAATATAAGTTACAATGGATATATAAGTCAAATATGTAAGAATGGGGGGGGGGGTGGGTTATAACACCCCTAGTTCTGATCTCACTAACATAAAAACTCAAGTCATGTCTGCTGTAGTTTTAAACACAGGAAAATGATTAGCAATCAACTCTTAGCTTTTCTCTCTTTGTACCTTATTCTCAAAACTTTACTGCCTGCAAATAGTAAAAAAAGCCGTTTTGTTTCATCGACATAGTCATTGGCCATTAACCATTTTGTCTTGTTCGGAATCCGTAGATTACAGCTTTTTCCACCACAGAAAGAGTAAGAATAAATTGTCTGTAAGTTCAGTTGCAACTCTTATCACCTCCTTTAGAAGTAGGAGTAATATTAGTAATTCGGCAGCTTCTTACTGTCTCACGACGTGTCAAATATGATAGAGTGGTATAATAAGGATTATGCACCTGATCTTTGTTTGTCTTTTTAAAACCCTCTAGAAAACATTGCCTACTCCTGGTTCTTTATTTTTAATCTTTTTTATTGACCATCAGTGGATTAATATCTCATCTCAAGGTTATGCGGATCAGTTTTAATATTTCCCATAGAACACACGCTATACTAGATGAATTTACACTATAATTGCTACTATCTGTTTATTAATAACTGTGAGATTAAGAGTGGTAATACAAGAATACAGTCAGAAGAATTAAACTTGGAGTACTTGTTAATAAAAACTTCTTGTACAAAGGACAAAATGCTTGAAAAATCTACAAAATTTAAGTGAGTTTAAAAGAAACTTTGATAAGTTTATGAATGATACAGGCTGGTTTTAAGATTTTTTATTATACTTTTTTAAATTATTTTAATTTAGTTTAAAGGATGGAACAGCCAAGATGGACTAATAGGTCCCATGTTGTCCCAGAAACGTTATGTTATCAATGCTGCTATAGACTAAAAGGGTATTTAATATACATGCTATGTAAAAAGCTTAAACTTTTTTGTAATTTTGATCATTTACTTTCTGGAGCTAACAGCCAAATTTTACTGGGCTCCTACTAAAGACAAAAGGAATGAAATAATATTGTTACATTAATAAAATATCTGTGCATGACTTAATGCACAGGGATACACACACACACACACATATATATATTTGTGTATTTACTTTTGGTTTGCAGGTTTCCATTTTTAAAAATATTTATGTATGTGTGTGTGTGTGTGTGTAGGCTTCCACAGTTCAGAGTTTTCAGAAACTTGCATGGTTCTCTGTAAATCTAGCCAGTATGCTTTTCTAGCAATAGAATGAACAGTTTGAAAAAAAGCAGTAGTCATACTTTTAAAAATGATACAGTATTATGGTCTTGCATGTTGGTTTCCAGACTTTCTCAGCACAGAACATTCTGCATCCTGACTGAAGCTCCCCACCAAATGAGTTGATAAGTATTGTGTATTTGCTATGGCCTCTTTGACAACCCCTGATATAACAAATCCCTTGAAATTGACTTTTGGACAGTGTTGTTGAAGGTCAGTTGTGTGAAAATGTATTGCACATTCACTCGGGGTGTTAGAAAATTACGTGTGTGATGATAATATTAAATATTTCAACATTTGTTATCTGTGAGATGATTAAATTATGAAAATTGGAGAAAATGAGACTGAGGAAACAAATATGAGTGTGTGATATGCTTTCAAAAAGTATTGAATTAGGCCTCTGTAATAAATTTTAAAGTAAAGTTTATTACCTTGGTATCTGCTTTTATCTGTGTAGTCTAAGCCTATTTTAATTTAGTTCATAATTCCTAAGTTCTAAATCATATCACTGTCACATAAGAAAATCCAAATGTTTTACTGGACAGTAAACGACTTCTTGTAGGGTGTCGTAACTTTTGGTTGTTTATTTTCCACGTACATCATTGCATGGTTGACCTCTTTTTGAAAATGGGACAAAGTTAATTACAAGGATCCTTTTGAAGCTGAACTCTGTGACCTGCAGAACAAGTGGTTATGGCTGACCTTGATTTGGCAGAAAACTTCTCAAGTTTTTTTTGAATAAACACAATTTTTCAGGATTTGCGTGTGTACTTCATTCATCCTGAATGGTATGATTTTTGTTACAGAGTAGTCAGTAAAGAGGAGAAAAGTTATACCAAGATGTAATTTCATCCTAAAAAACCTATGTTCTTGTGCAATACATCAGAAACATTAAAGACCGACTTTTTATGATAATGTAGGATGAGGCCTGTTCAAAGAATTTTTCAAAAATTAAACATTCTTAAATATAATTATACAAAAAAATTTATTTACTATTAAATGGTTTTGTGATTGTCAATACTACATTATAATCTTTTATTATTAGGCTTAATTTTAATTGGCAACTGTAAACTTGTAATAGAAATATGCCAGTTTTAACACATTTTTAACAGAACTACTGAAACAGTGAGGATGTGAGATCGTACATGTTTTTAAGGCAACACCATTAAAACAATATGGATCAATTTTTAAAGACAACTTCCAAAATAACAGTGAACCTTAGGGTTCATTGTTCACATCCCACAGGTCAAATCCCACTATTGGGTCAAACAAGCGTAGCCCAAGAACTGGCAGTTGTTGTTATTAACTAGCTGCCTTCCCTCTAAGTATCTTGGCTCAAAATATGTAACAGCATGCACAGATAGCCCTTGTTTGGAGTTGTGCAAGAATGTTAAAAGCAGACAAACAGTTACAAGTTTTACTTAGAACTATGCAGATTTAACATAAATATATATATATATATATACACACATGTTCAACAGAACTGTATGAAACATCCAGAGAGACAGATATTCTCTGTTTCATTTTTAAAACGTACAAATTTTATGCTAACGTGGATTATTTTGATATGGGCTGAACGATTAATTCTGTCAGTGTATATATATGGTAAGAAACAGATCTAACAATGAGACACACATGTTGCTTGTAACAAAGTACAAAACAGCCCATCTGTGGTATAGCACCAAGAGCGCATCCAGTGAACCAACCCCTTGAATGAATACTATTTTCATTGACGAGTCACGCTTTATCCTGTAACAAAATCCTAGGCTTTGGAGAGAATCTACAACCAAGTCCACTTTATTTTTATAAAGGAACGTGTTGTATATTGCGATCATTGAAATATGGTATATATAAGCAGAAGTGAGCATTAGTGGACGTACCAACCTATACGTACTGCAGAATAGTACGATCGGTGACCAGTGCCGGCACCAGGCTATTTTGTGCCCTAGCTACTTGAAAACAATAAACTGGTTATGAACTATTATATTTTCCTTTTATTATGTTTTTTCTTAAAACAACTAATTTGTATAAAACTGTGACACTTAAAGGTCAGTACTGCGCCCTAGGCGGCTGCCTAGTTGGCCTAATGGTGGCACCGGCCCCATCGGTGACAGTATATAAGAACCACATTCTGTGATCCTTCGAGCTACCCTGACTGCAGCCTCACGGATGGTCAACACATTTTTTGGAGAGGTTATCTAAATGGAGTGACCTTTAAGTTCATTGGACTTGATTTCAGTCAAGCAAGTATGGAATGCTATTGGAAAGTGGATCGAATTCTACCTAGTGACACCTGAAAAAGCCAAACAAAAGAGAGTCATTTCAGAAGATTGATCTAAGATAGCAGGATATTTTATGAACACTGTTATTTTAAACAATGCAACACTGGCGCTAGGCCAATCTGGTTGTGTTCGAAGGTGCTCCATGCTGAAGTGATATGCCATAATACAGATCATTAGATACCTAATTTGCATACATTTAATTGAATGGGATTATTGAACTTATATTAGAACAATGGTGTTTTTTTTTGGTTTTTTTTGCCTTGTCACTGTTATAATAGTACAAATGATGATAAATTATTCTGTAATGATTTTTAGCAGTGTATACTTATGACAAATATTTTAAACTGTAATTCTTGAATGGTTAGGTGTTTTTGATAAGAAGAATAAAAACAGTTTTGTATAAAGACAACTACTGAAAAATCAAGACTGACCATGCTAGCTGGAATACTCTGTGTACTTCTGTATTTTGTTGAACTGTTAAGTTGCCTGTATTTATCGGAATGTGCGTGGGGTCGACCAATTGGACTGATCCAGTGTGGGGAAAAGAATGTTGAATATAATTCTGAATTTACTAAGTGTATCTACACAGATTGTGGTAGGCTTTTAGTAAAACATACAAGTCTGTTGTATACAAAAAATCAGATGTGTTAGGAATGTATTTCTACTCAAGATATGTCTTTGAAGTGTCAACGTCAGTCTGACTGAGACTCCAACAAGTAAGAATGCAAGGTGGTGTTCATGTGAAGAATAACCTTGTTTATTGTACAGTTTAAATATTGCACTTGTACAACCTTTAGGACCTCCAAAATGCATATCTACCATTTTTTTCAATATATATCTATATTGTATCTGGTATTTACTCTCCTCTACCACAAACTGTTGCTAAATCAGTAGTGTCAAGTAAAATGAATAATTGATAACTCATACATCAAATACATAATACCATCTTCAATGGTTCTTTGTAAAAGGTTGTGGTATGCACATTTTTACCCCACCTGTGCACAGAGGGTTAATTATACTTATATGCATGATTTTTTTTTAGTCAAAACAGAGCTTCAAGAGAACCCTACATTGATGAAGTTTGGGCTCTGGTTGTTTACCATCATCTGTGTGGCCTTGTCTATGTTATTTGGTTTGGTCGGAGCTGTATTTGCTGTTATCAACACCGTCATTGTACCAGTTGAATTAATCACAGGCATGATGGGGCTTTATCTCTGGAACTGTATAGGAGGTGAGTTTTAAGAGTACACTTTTTTTTTAGAGAAGGTAGGTAGTAAGCTGTTGATGATTTTTTATATTGAGGGTGGAAGATTCCTGATGTTTGGCATACTTCCAGAAACTTTCAGTCAGCTAAAGTCTCAACGTCTTACTTTTTGCATGCATATTGTGCTTTTGTTGAAAGTGGTTTGAAGGACACACGTCCTACTTCTGAGAATTGGCAAAACACCAAATAAGCCATTAGTACTCCCTAGTTTCTCGTAAATAAATTAGTATTAACCGTCAGATACATTACAAACACTCCGGGTATTAGTAACATTTTATATCACGTGAGCTATACCTATGTTTGTATTATATAGAACATACTAAAAGTTTTCCTTATTGGATCCTTGCCATAGGAACAGATTTTGACATGGGTGGAGGGGATAAGGGACTTGGGAGGGAGGCTATCAATAAAAGAATACAGATGTTTACACTTATCTTTCTTTAATCTTTATTTATTTTTTATTTTTTTACATTTCAACTTTCAAGAGTATTATGGAATTCCTAGGTATGGGGTGCTGTGTGAGTGTGCAAAAATTGCATTTTTAGGCCCATACTGCTAATTTTTGTTTCTTAGACTAAATAAAATAGTGCTTTAATGCCCTCTATTAGTTCCTTTGCTGGGAACTGAAAATTCATTTAGATTATATAATGGGTTAATTGTTATATATATATATATATTTATTTTATTGTAATTTATTTATTTACCAGTTTGCTATATTTCTGATCTGTAAGTAAGATTATTTTAAAAAAAAATTAAAAACTATCTTTAACTCTGTGACAAACTTTCAGATGTCAAATTTACACCTCTAACAAAATCTTTAGGTGAAAATAGTGATTGTAGCTATATTTAAACAACTGTTTTACTTTGAAATATTTTGTAACATGTATATGATCCTCTTATAGGTAATTAGTAAGCTTATCTGTTAACAACTAAAACCTGGGGCATGGTTCCCTGTAGAGGACAGTGCACAGATAGCTTTGCTGAAAGCAAACATTTATTTAACGTATTTCATGGCAAAAAATGAAAAGAATGTTCAAATTTGCATTTATGCGCAACTCCAAGGAGTCATGACTGTAAACAACACAGTTTTTTTTTTTTAGAATTTTTGTTCTCATTCTAAAGTGTAAGTTTATATTTGCTAAGAAACATCCATCCCTAGAGAATATGAGTAACAATGTCTTGTTTCTCATGTGATTTTCTTTCTGTTTCTCAAAATCTTATTAGTACAAACCCTTGGTTCCCACCTTTTTATAACCTCACAGCAGGTCGTTGAAGAAATAGTGATGAAGCCAAGGTTTTAAAATAGCTGCACGCAAAGTTCAAACGTCATCGGATAGAGTAGTTTATAAACTGTTTACTAGAGGGAATAAAGTGGTGTGGGAAGTAAATTATGTTTTGATAACAAAGTGACAAAATCAAACTCATGCAGAGAACAACAGTATATACTGGAAAAGTTGAGAAACAAACCATAGATCTGTTTGATGTGTTGTCTTAGAAGAAAATGTCTAAGGCTTTCAAACAAATAATTTCACACAAAAGCATTTTCAGAAGTGAAAAGAATGTCTAACGGAACTATTAAAACGTAAGCCTTATTAGGCTTAGGGAGTATGATAGGTGACAATAAAATATTCTGGTGACTCAGATGCATATTTATTCAAAATTGTTAAATTTATTCCATTCAAACAATAGACATTAATGTAATGGGTTATCATTCATTGAAAAGAAAATATATTTATCAGATACAAATTGATTTTGACTAAGAATATTGTTACCAAAAATATTAGTACATAGCCTGACCTATTGTTTTTCTGAAAGGTCAAGTCCTAGATCACTAAATCGTCATCAGTTTTTGATGTTCTTTTATGATTTATAGTCGGAAGTAGTGACTACTGCAGTGGACAAGAAACAAGTATCAATATAAGTCATATTTAAACTGACCGTATATAGAATGGATATTTCTGATCAACATAAAAAAATGAAACAGTTTGTCACAACGAAATCTTAGAAATTTCAGTGTAAAATAATTAGAAAACTAAAGATGAAGTTTTAAAATCCAAAACTAGATACTGTTTAGTTTTATAGAAGTTTAAGTATTCTTTGCAATTTAACTGAAATTTTTAAGCCCTCAAATTACCAGCTTGTTTCCCTGCTAGTGGGGTCCAAACATTGCATCATTTTATGTTCTTCTCCTGTTTCTTTTATATTTTGTGTAAAGAACTGAAAAAAAAGTCAAATCACTTATTTCATGCATAAAAATACACAGAAGACTCCAGCAAATAGCTAGTGAGATTAAATGCATGCCCCCAGAAAGTCCTGATGGCTTATAACATCAACAACTAGGGTTCAGTACCTATGATGGGCTCAGTACAGATCCATTATCTTGCTTTGCGCTTGACAACAATTGTAGTATCATTAATTTTTGTTGAACTCGTACGTAATTAGGAACCCTACAGCCAACAAATTCATGTACCTATAAGTAGCTTAGAAAAATGCATTTAACAGATATGATGGTGATTCATTGATAGTGTTGCGTCAGCGAGGTCACGTGACTAGTGTCACGCCACGTTTCTAGAAATATCCTGTTCCTTCGTGAATGGCCTAGCATTTACTAGATATATATATATAAGACGCTCACAACGTGACGGTACAACAATGTGTAGGTAGTGAGTAATTGATCTGCAATCACAGGGTATTGTTGAAGTTAACGTTTGTTCGTTATAGCCCGACTGTTGAAATTAAGTGTATCATAAAGTTATATTTGGAAAGAATAAAGCAGTTTTATTAAGTAAGGACTTGTGTCGCTAAAGTTTCGTTGGAACGAAGTTATGGAAAATTAATTAACAAACGGAGACATAACAGTAGTTTAGGAATCAACTATAGTTTAACCATATAATGGAGAAAAAATCTTGGAGTTAATTACATTTCATTTTTTTCTGTAAATTCTGTACACTGATTGTTGTAACAGGCAAAACATAAAATTACTTAATATGACTGCAGTATTTGTAGCCTAGTTATAACAACAACAGGATCGTATTTGTGGATTAACAGATGAAAGTTGCAATTATGGTGATGGTATTACAACATGATAACATTTTTAACAGTATTTTTTTACATTAACGTTTCCGATTATGTTTTCTTTTATAGCTATTACTTCCTTAGCTGCTATTCTAAGTTGGGTTGCCCAGTATTACCTAAAGTTGCAGAAGAATGTGATGACGGAAGAGGAAATCAGGGTCCAGTGGACGTCGGAAGGCCAGGCTCGTTTCGGCTCCAGTTTTTGGTTTGTCATAGTGGCACTTATCCTCTACATTTTAAACGTCTTTATAATAAAACTAGCTCAAAACCATGTGTGGGAACACAGACAGCCAAAATCCACAACAGACAAAAACCCAGAGGGTGCAATTATGCTCTACTAATCATTTCATTGATCTTTTTTTAAGTTTCATAATTTTTGGAATAAAAAAAAAACCATAACACTGCTGGACAATGTACAAAGATAGTATTTTTTTATGTAACATTAACAAATTAATATAGGGTAACAAGGATACAAAACACTACATGTAAATTTATATATTTGATATGAATGTACTTGTCATTGTGTCTTATAACTCTGTTGTCATCATATTTTGTAATACGTTAAATCAAAGTCAGGGTACGAACATTTGTTCATATGCTCACATGATGTATGGAATCCACTTTTCTGATAACTTACATAAAAATATCTTGGTGGAATAAAAACAACGGCACCCATACTGATAATTTAGGTTCACAAGTGACTCCTAAAAGTTTTGATGGTTATCCCATGTCTGAAGTTAAGGATGAAGAGGCATTTAAATATTGTAGTCGTGTAATTCATAACCATAAGTGAGTATAATCCTCCCAAAAAAAGTTTTACTGCCCTAATCAAACTGTATACTATAAATTAGTTTGCTAAAAATTGTCTTATATTTGAAGTTTCAAGTTACTTTTCTCATTGCAGTATCATGTTCTGCATGATTATTACATGCAAATCAAGTGTGGCAGCTAAACCTATCATTCTATAAAAAAGTAGGCTTAATTGAATAGAGTTGCTTAACTGAAG